CCTAACGTTTCACCAGTCTCTGTGGCCGGCATCTTCAGAGGACAGCACTCTGTGCTCTGGGACACAGAGTGCTGTCCTCTGAAGATAGGAAGAACAGCCTTCAGAACACACCCAAAGAGCCTGAAAAACCCACAACAACCATTGGCATGCATTCACAGAGACCACAAAGAAGAACCACATTTGTTTGGGGGGTTTTTTTTGTAGCAGGGTGGAGAGAACAATGGAGAAAAGAGGAAGACGACAAATAATATAGAAAACGTAGAAAAGTGGAAACGCTGCTCAATTATCAGTAGACAAAAAGGAACTGCGGTAATGAGGGGGAAATCACATGATCATGCACACTAGAGTGGGTGGAGCCCCTGCCAAAGTTCAGAATGGTTCCAGAGCCATGTTGTGCAGGTGCAGAAACCCACTAAATGCAATGCGCAGAGACCATGAAGAAGAAATATTATGGGGGCAATTTGGTGAGAACTGATGCCTGCATCTTTATCAAGTGTTCAATTTTCAGACACCAGAATAGGGATGAAGAATATACAGGCCTCCAGATGTTATACTCCAACTCCCACCAGCACTAGTTAGCAGTCAGTGGTAGTGGGAGTTGCAAATTCCCTTGGCCCTTGTCCACCATACTTCTTTGCACCCCTTCCCTTCTCTTGACCTCTGACAACAGCAAGAAACTAATCAGGCAGCTATATAAAGGATGCAGCTTTCCCCCATAACATCCTCTCTATAACACTGAATATTTTTGACAGTAATGATTTCTTTTGGCAGATTGTTGTGAAAACAACATTCTTCTACCAGCCCAGTTATTTATTTGCAGAAGCAGAAGACTGTACAAGCCTGCGTGTTTCTCCATCTGTTTTTGTACCCATGGCTTCTGCCAGACCTTACAAAAACATTAAATCTAAAAATAATTTTGCTTTAGATTCCAGAAAGGGATACACACCCCAGATCAGTTGTTGTCTTTTGCTGCCCAGATTGCCTTAAAAACGGCTGCATTTTCCTTCCCTCCTGCTTTCCTAAGGCACTGTCATCAGTCCTCCCCCTCTTCTTCCTCCAACCATCATTTCTACTTCCCGCCATGTCTCCTGAGCTCAAACTACTACACCATTGCAACAAACAGAGGGAAGTGTAGTTGCTGCAGGTCAGCTGCAAACAGGCATGACCCTAGTTGTAAGACAAGGGTAAGCTGTGACACTATTTTCTTTGTTTTAATCCTGTGTGTGGATGGATGTGCACTATTGTCATGGGTTTGTCGGGACGGGTGCAGCACCACATAACAAGGACATTGTGACCCACTCTCCTCCTTTTTAATTAAAAAAACAGTTTTTACACACATTTGGAAAGAAAAGATTGAATTGGTTGTAGCCATTCAAGATCCGGGGGTGTGTATCCACACACCTCCTAAGGCTTTCTGGATAGCTATTTTCATTAGATGGCACTGGGAAGGTTTTTGGACTGCATCTCTCGCAATGCCTTGGCTCCGAGGAACCCACCCATCCCGTTAGCTGCTGCAAATATCCACTGAAGAAGTGGTCAGGCTAGGGAGGCAGCACGGAGCAGGAAGGGCCCTCCATACTGCCTCCTAGTTCTTCATCAGCCTGTGTTACCTCTAACTCCCACCCGCAGGAGGGCTGCCACACAGAAGGCAGCAGCCCTTTTCCTACTTCAGGCTGCGGGAAAGCTCCTGAACATCAGGCCTTGCCCCAGCATTATTTGAAACAAAGACATCAGGCGAAATGCTAAAACAAAACAAAACAAAACCCTGAGGCACCTTAAAGACTGACTGTTGCATTTTATATTTTAATGTGCGCTATATTATTGAAATACTACACTGTTATATTAAGATATAGCAGTCTTTAAAAGCTGCAGCAAGGTTGTTATCTTTATTATTCTTTGGGTTTCGCCTGACATGTTTGCACAGACCAACACCTCCTCCCTAAACTACAATTCCGAAACAAAGAGTTAGTAAAAGGACATCGGACGCTCGTTTACTGAATTTATTTTATTCCAAATATCACATAAATACATTTTCCCATGAGTAATCCAAATATACATGAAATGAACATTGCAGCAATATTTTTTTAAAAAAAAAAAGGTTTGGCTTTCTTTTATCCAACAGAAGTGCCAAACATGGATGTTAACACCTACCTGTTTTGTTTTTGTTTTTACTAAGTACAAAAAGGCGCAGATGAATAATTTATATTTATACATATGTACACATACACTCACACACACATACCATACATACACTTCTTTAACTAGCTTCAAAACAGATGAGGATTTTATTTCAAGTTTTATCTACATAAATGTTTTTAAAAAACTGGTCACAAGCTCCAGATGTTTTTTTGTGGTGCTTTGTTGATACAATCATTCCAGAGCTGCAAAATTAAGGCGCTACCAAACATCAGGCCTTCAGTTACGCAAGGGGCTGTATGACTAATGCATACAGCTTCAGAACACCTTTGCCATTCACGTTCTTTAAAAATTAACTGCAGCATGAGCCAAAGGAGCAAGAATCTGCCAGTTACTGGCTCCCTGGAGTCGCAAAGCAGTTTTAGCAACTGAAAAGAAGACATTTGAAACCAGTAGATAAAAAGGCCACAGTAGAAAACAACTGGTATAGATTATGAAACTCAAGAGAGATTGGACCAGCAATTCGATGTGATTTGGAAGCCTTACATAGCAGTCCTATGATGAATACAAGTTTGTCCGTGTTTGGAGGAGGCTAGGATGTCTCTCCTCCTTGTTATATTCATAAAATAGGTCCTGAATATTTTTCTACAAGGCTTTGGGGACTAGAGGGATATCTTAACTTCCATTTCTCTAGGTTGTCAAATCAATTATCCAAAAAGGTTTTTAAATTCTAGCTTTCTTTACATCTGCTCACTTGACAGATCAAGAAAACTAGACGGCTAAGGATATCATGCTGAAGACTGCCCAAAAAGTCCTCTGTCCAAAACAGAGTACCATTTAGGAATATCAAAGATAGAGTATCAAGGACAAAATCGAGCAATGGAAAGTGAAGGAACACTAATTAAATGGAACAAATATATACTTAATTGCTATGCTTCTTCTACTATGAACAGAAGAAGAAAGAATACAGAAAACAGAGAGGAAGAAAAAAGAGCTACAGCCCGAAGCTGAAAGAAACATCAAGCACACACAAGTGAAAAGTATTACAGAAAAAAATATAATGAAGATGGCCAAAGTTCCCTGTCAAAAATTAATGATGCCACATTTTAAAAAATCTCTTACTAGAAAACTCTGGAAGATTTTGAAGTCCAGTGGATTAACAGGAAGACAGGTGTGTTGGGTAAATTATGATAGCACCCAGGGAATGAAGAGAAGGAGGAGAAATACAGTTAAGACCTTTTTCTTTCTGGCTTGAATACTAACTTCCTAAACATTATCTGAAGAAGAAAAAAAACACCCTGTGGCCTACAAACTCTGGTAAAGTAGTAGAACCTGCAGGAAGGCTACAGTAGAGACTAATAGATCATCAATTGTAAGTTATGCAGCTTACAGTTAAAAGAATCGTCACAGGTCCTCACTCAACAACAAAAGGCGAATTCAAGGTAGAGGCAACTACAGTACATTCAGGATTTGTTGATCAGTTCCTAGGAAAACATGACTTGCAACCTTTTAAAAAATCCTCTAATACCGCTCAGACTATAATTACATTACAAATAATGCAGCCTATAATTTTTCCAATGGCATGTCTTCCTGAATTCATGTGTGTTTATATCTTTGTCTAACATGCTTTTTCTAATTCAAAAAGGAGGCACTTCTGAAATATTTTGGTATTGCCACTATTTTCATCTTGCCAAATTATCTGCACATGAACCAGTACCTTTCAAGTTGCCTTCTGTTCATACAGCCTTCCAATCACATTTCCTTTTCCTGTCAGGACAATTTCACCTCCTACCAGTCCAGAGATTTCAGAAGTCTACATCTTGAGCAAATGTTTCGCTATTTCACATTTACTGCTAAGGTTTCTTTCCAATAACTTGAACATGTTTAAAAAGTTAACAAGTACTAAGACATCAAAACACAGGAATATTTACAAAACCAACGAGAAATCGAAGGTAACACCTGGTTTAAGCTTGCATTGAAATTTGCCTTTACAGGGTTCAGTTTGTGCCTCCTTTCAAGTTGTCATCAAGGACAAAGACTCCCAGCACAGACAGTGGTCAGTACATAACAAGGAATATTAAAGTTTTGGTTTGTAAAAAATGTGCTAACAAAGGTTGCTCTAGTATATCAGATTATTAGGCTGGCATGACAGCTGTGAACAGAGGTGGAAATCGAATCTTATCTGCTTGTTATTCTACTTACAGAACTAATACCAACAGTAATTCTAAGTGGCAGTTCTATTTCTCAACTGCTTTTAAGTAAGTTAGCCACAGAACAGCTTTAAATTAATGGAGTAAATGTATAAGCTAAATGTTCAGGCCATGATCAAACAAAGGAACCCAAAATATTTACGTTTAAAAGTGGCAAGGAAAGTAATCTCTCGCACAGAGACAAACAATTATGTCCACAGTGGGAGGCCACAGGATATGCAATTATGCAGGGTTCCAGGTTGCAACCAAAGAGAGCTGGCTTGTCCACAGCAACTCTTCCCATATTGTAATGCAGGTTGCCCGAGATGCTTCAGATATGAGGGAGGGGAGGGGAACCTAACCTTCCTAGATATATTTTGAAATACTCTTCCCATTACATACAGCATGCAGATTACAAACACAAGGAATTGGTTTATCATAAACGGACATGGTGTTATTTTCATCAACTATTCTTTCCAACAAACATCCTTGGAAAGGGAACATTTTGCTTAGGAAATCCCATTTTGCTTCATAGCTCAATCATTTTATCCACGTGCTACAGAAAAGACTGTCCTGTTCATCAGCAGCTGTTGTCCTTTGCTCCTCCTTCATAAGAACGTTTTGGAGAACTTTGCTTCAACTGGCTACCTCCAAGGAATAGTCTAACAATTCATATTCTCAGTTTCTAATCCACTGCTTCCTTGCTACATAGAAATCAAAACCTCAGTTGGGGCTTTGGGGACGTTTTAGGGCTTCTGACTCTGTTGTTTCACGAAAATAAATAGACAGTCAATTATGAGCAATAACCACTGCAACAACTAATGGCTGTGTTGCAAGTGTGGCACAATGTCCAAGAGGCTCAGATTTCTCCAGAACAAGAGGCACAGAATTACTCTTGGGTTAACTACTGGGTAGAGTGTGTGCAAAGAATGGTGAATGCTTAGATGAGCAGATCAAGCGTCCTTCAAAGGAAGAGACCTTCAGTCTCCAACTTTTTTCTGATGAGCATTTGCAACCAGTTGTTGTCATTATTTGTTCAGAAATAAGGCTGTGTCATCTGGGTCTTTTGCGTGTCACAAATATTAGCACACGGCGTATGGCAATGAGACGGTCTTTAAGTGAAGTCATAGCAAGAATGGCCAATTGAGCCCTGTTCTCCAGTGGCAATACTGCTAACAGCCACCAATACCAAGCTGGACCGCTGGGATTACTCTGTAAAAACAACAAAAATATGTTTGTATACATGTTTCCATAGGAGAATGCAAAATGACAGTAAAGACAGCATTTTGTACTACTTTCAGAATGCAGAACATAAGGATAAAACCTACCCCCAATGATAGTTTAAGGGCCCCAAGGATGGGTTACAACAGAGAGACTACCTAAAATAAAAACTGTACTCCTTTTTATGAAACTTTCTGCTATCAGACTTGATCTTTGTTATAGAGAACACTATTATCAGGCTAAGCATAATAGTTCTAGAACAGAAATCGACATACTATTTGTCTACTACAAATACTATTTGGAGATTTGCTTGCAAGTTACAATAAACCAGATAAAATCTGATGCAGACATGTAATTATCTTTCATATACATTTCCTGCCTTTAAGATTTCTACTAATGCTTTCTGCTCACGTCAATACTGAATTCTTTCAAGGGGTATTACAAGTAAGATTTATGTTATTGTTTTCACAGAGTGGTCTTCCTTTGGATAAAAGTGTAATTTCACCATGTACTATCACATACACTGTGATTTATAATCTCAGGAAAGGTAATATGAAGTAACAGGCCACCAAAACAAATCTGAACAGAAGTGCGTAATACACAAGGAATTTGCCCAAATTAACAGTTGTTAAAACAAATATCAGTCCAAATGTAGCTATGACTAAAATGAAAAATAATCTTAACATCCTTATGTAGTGTCAACTGCATGTGTGATATTGGGGCCCACAAGTAATTTAACTGGATTTGCGAGTTCTGGTATTTTAGGGTTTCAGTTTTGTTCCTTTTAAAACCCTAGACTAGAGGCAAGTGAAAACAGAGCAAAGTTTAATGCAACAGCTGTCATTATATTTGTAAGGAGGGTGATAAAGTGTCTTTCTCAAAATAAAATTATAGATTGCTGGTAACATTTTCCTTGACTTACAGCAACATAACAGTCCTGGAAAGAGGTCTCTCTTGGAAATCTTTTATCAATTTAGGAGACAACATACATATTAAACAAGATCAGAAGAAAATCACCAGGAAGCAATCTGAAGTCTAAAAATGGTTGCTGGGGGAAGAGTTAAACTCTTCTCTCTTGTTTCTCTATTCCAAATTCCCTCTTGCCATACTGTACTTTTTTTCTTCTTAAAGCGAGGGCAGTGGTCATGGGAGAAGAGCCATAATGTATGGATTTTAGGGGTCTGAGATCCATGCTATCACAGCTGGGGAGAGGGAAAACCCAGGAGCCCATTTCCAATGCCATCCCCATATCTCCTTTCTCCTTCAATTTTACCGGTACAGCTGCCACCATCCCCCTCAACAGTAAGAAGACAAAATCATTCTGGTAATGTGGGTCAAGAACGGGTAAGGCATCTGGGCTTAGATTTAAACCAAAGTCAGCTCTGCAGGAGACAGAAGCTTCAATGCCACAGTTTCTAAAACACTGACTTTATTAAAGGTAAAACAAATAAAACATAGGAGCTAAGCAGTAAAGTTAAGCAGACTGCTTTCACCATCTCCTAGGGCAAAGCACAAGATCAGCAACAGACAGTCTACAAAATGCAGCTATTCAAACCTAGCCAATTTCCCTATCTGCTCTCAGCTTGTTCTTTTTTAGTATTTGCATACTTATAGTTTTAGCTTTAATATTGACTTTTCATCACACAAACTGCCTCTTATACTCTTCTTTGCTTTAAAAATGGTATTTTAATGATGTAAACCACCATTGTAAGCTCATTGTTTCCAGCTTTAAATATTGTCTTTCAAGGATGTAAGCTACCTTGGGTCCTTTTTAAGGAGAAAGGCAGGTTAAACATATTTAAAACAAACAAACAAACAAAGCAAGCAAGCAAGTTAAAAGTAATAAACAGCTGCTCGACAGACAGGGTAAACCGTCTGCTCTGTGCCCACCTACCTAAACACACAGCATGGGCAAAACATATTCTCACTCCCTGTCATCCCCACTAATCCCACTCGAAGGACCATAGGAAACTGGATCATACTGGATCAGACCACTGGTCCACTGAGCTAAGCAGAACCAACTTTTATTGGAAGTACTTCTCTGGTATTTCAGGTAGGATTCCTTGGAGATTTCTGGTATTCCCCTGATGTTTCTCAATTCCTGTGCTAACCAAGCGTGTTTGCTAGTCTCCAAAATTGCATGTGATCAAGTGTGTTTATGGTGGTGAACACAAGAAGCAGAGTAGACTGGGTTAGTTCAGGCTGACACTTTGGTCACTTTACTCCTCTAACAGGGTTTGATGCCATACAATGAAATCTTCTTATACTATTGTATGGCAATTGTACATCTATTAGGTTTATGGCAGGCTCTTTCAGACAAAACTGGGCAAACGTTTAGCTTCTGAGGTCCCTCCTCCTTGTTCTGCCAGCCTCAAATACACATACATTTCCAGATCTCACACATACACAGATACACCTTCACTCATTTCTCTCCATCTCATATGGGGATGGGGATATGGGGAAGTTTAATCAGTCCCTTTGTGTCTAATGAGATCCTCCACTTGGAAAGTGGGATTTGTACCAGTGACAGCTCGGATGATCTGGAATTTTAAAGGCTCTTCTTCTCTACTCCAGTCTGGGGAGATCGTGTCCCCTCCAGCCAAGCAAAACTTCAACTTGGGGTTCTATGGGGTTTGTATGTTCCCTAGCTGGACCTTAACAAAATGATGGGCCCTGGGAAAGCGGTTCTCATAAACCCTATTCTTTTCACCTAAAATTCCCCTTCATGCCCAGATCTGCCAGTGTTTTCTGGATTTGCCAACAGGCAGATAAGAGAAACGTATCAGCTACAACCGATGAAGTAGCATGCAGCCATCAGTTTTATCTCCTCTGTGTTCCAAAACACTCTACCCTGCAAATACCTATCAGATACAAACATGTGATATAAGGTTTACCTGTGGCTCATGTTCCTTCCCTGGCATTGGCCCAAAGTGATTTAGAATTTGCGCTTTCATGTTTTCTTTAAGAGACGTAAACCAGGAAACCGCTTGATCATACACGGAATCATGAAGGCGGACAAGTTCTGCATACTCTTCCCCTTCAACCTGGTTGATAAAAGAAAATCAGGTTTCTCTCAAGCAGTAGGGACACCAACAACATACACTACTAGGGGTTAAAAATGAAAGCACTTCTGAAATGTTTACAAAATGGCACCCTGATTTCGGCACTACTATGAGCATAGGACAGTGTATCCTGTCTCCTAAACCTCTGGTAGAAACAGGTATAAATTACTCATAATCCTAAAAGGTATAAACCACATCTTGAATTATATCTTGAACTATAATTTCCATAATCCAAGATCTAGAAATTGTAATCCAAGGGGATTCTTCTTAGGGAATGCTCCCAGGCCCCAGAAATTCCCTTCTCAAGGACATGTCCTTGTGGCAAGCCACACAGTTTTCATTTCACTAGGCGTTTTGCCAATGATCAGGATTAGAGATGTGGGTGTTTGTATTGGTATATGAATACCCCCACACAGGTGGACATAACGAGGGTCCAGCCCCATGGGGCCGGTTGGTCCACTCACTGATTCGCTACTGTTGTGGGCACCACAGAGCCTTCCAGTGGCTCCGGAGATCGTGTTCGGCTCGCGACTCCTGGCAGGAGACGGGATGACAAGCCTCCCTGCCAGGTTGAAGAGCGGCCCGCCAAATGTGATCTCCGGAGCCACTGGAAGGCTCTGTAGCACGCCCTCCCACAGCGGATCGGTGAGTGGACCATCCGGCCCCATAGGGCTGGACCCTCGTTATGTCCACCTGTGCATGTGTATTTGTATACGAATACCCCCATCTCTAATAAGGATTAGAGACGGAAGTATTTGTATACAAATATGAATGCCACCACACTTCCAATCACTTCCAGAGTTCCGCTCAGAAAGCCACTCCTGCCAATGGGAGGGAAGACGAGTTTCTCTGCAAGGCTGCTGAGTCTCTAGCCAAGCGGTGTTTCAGGAGTGATTGGAAGGGAGAGAGGGGTCACTGCCACCACCGGATGCATAAGTGGATGGTCCAGCCCCAGAGGTCAGACCCTCATTAAGTCCAGCTGTGCAGGGCTATTCGTACATGAATACCCCCATCTCTAATCAGGATCTTTTATGGATGGGGACTGTTTTGTTGATGATACTGCTGTTTTTAAATTGTGCAATGTGGTTTTAAATAACTTTAAAACTAAATTGTATGTATTAATTTTTGTTTTTATTTTATTTATTTGATTTATACCCCATCCATCTGGCCTAAAAGGCCACTCTAGGCGGCTTAATCTGATCATTAAAGGTAAAGGTAAAGGTTCCCCTTGACTTGTATTAATTTTTATTTTTATTTTATTTGATTTATACCCCACCCATCTGGCCTAAAAGGCCACTCTAGGCGGCTTAATCTGATCATTAAAGGTAAAGGTAAAGGTTCCCCTTGACAATTTTTGTCCAATCGTGTTCGACTCTAGGGGGCGGTGCTCATCCCCGTTTTCAAGCCATAGAGCCAGCGTTTTGATCTGATCATTACTACTGTTTTAATAATGTAATTTATTGTGGAGATTTTTTAGTTGAAACATTTTAAAAGTGTATATTGTAAGCTACCTTGGATACCACAAGCAAGAAAAGTGAGCTATTAAAATGAAATAAAAAATAAAAAAAGAAGTCAATGTCAGCTGAAAATGCCCCTTTAAAAGATTTAAGGCAGCAGACACCCCACCACACACACATTCTTTTGAATACTGTTTTCTATAACAGCCCAGCAAATCATGTTCATACAAATATAATTACAGAAGCAGCTGTCAACATGCAACAAACTTCACTATCTAGTTCTTGCCATCACAAGAAGCATCTTCAATCCAACCAGGTCCCTAATCTGATCATGACTACTGTTTTAATAATGTGATTTATTGTGGGGATTTTTTAGTTGAAACATTTTAAAAGTGTATATTGTAAGCTACCTTGGATACCACAAGCAAGAAAAGTGAGCTATTAAAATGAAATAAAAAATAAAAAAAGAAGTCAATGTCAGCTGAAAATGCCCCTTTAAAAGATTTAAGGCAGCAGACACCCCACCACACACACATTCTTTTGAATACTGTTTTCTATAACAGCCCAGCAAATCATGTTCATACAAATATAATTACAGAAGCAGCTGTCAACATGCAACAAACTTCACTATCTAGTTCTTGCCATCACAAGAAGCATCTTCAATCCAACCACAGTGATTTTTTTAAAATCACATAACGTGCTCTTCGATAGGACAGAACATTATTCAATATATAGCCTAATAATATCTAAACACAATAGTTAGACTAGTATCAACTGGCCTTAAAGACTTCAAAGCAGAATTTGGTATATGATAATTTTAAAAATCATAGTAATTTATTCAAAAGTAACCAAGTCTGCTGGCAAATAAGTAAGTAAGAAATACATAAGGAAATAAAATCTACACTGAATATTTGGGGGTAAGGAACCAAAAATCACCATTTCTGTTCTTGGGCAGAAGGAACCAGGTCTGCAGACTCAGAGAGTGTTTCCAGCAGAGCAACGGTTCTTACAAAAGAAAGATTGCTAACAATTCTAGGGACTCCTATTTAGCTCAGTAGTCTTCTTGAGAAGGCTCAAATGCTATCCATTCAATGGGACATCTGGGTTAAGAGTGAAATCTCATTTAAAAGGGACAGTCATTCACATGTCTGACACTTTTCTAATCTAACAATAGGATTTTAGAGCTGCAGAGCTGGAAGGGACGCTGTGGATTACTGAGTCCAGCCCCTGTCAAGGAGGCACATTGGGGAATCCAACTCCCAATCTCTAGTTCCACAACCAGATACATAAACCACTGAGCTATCCAGCAGTCTTGCAGAAAGGAAGCAAGGGGTTCTCTTTCTTCCTACAATGCTCATGACTGCAGTAGGGTACGACCTAGCAGTTTTGCAGGGTCAATATGAAAGCAAATAAAATTAAAATAGACTCTTTTAGGATGAGATGAATTCTGAGTATACCTGAACTCAATGAACAAGTGTTTTGGCTATTATGTAGGACATTATAACAGGGGACCAACTCTGAAGCATGCTTGCACTTAACAGAGTTCTGGTCATTCATCCTCTCTCCAGCCTTCAGAATGGCAGCTCACACATTTATTTATTTTTTTTACCTCTGAAGGACACCCTACTTCCCATACAGTTATCTTTTATCTCCATTTAAAAGTAGCTTTATGTTGTTCTACTGGAGAAAGCTGGAGGAAAATGTAACAGAATTCAAAGCTTTTTAACTGCCTATCTTCAATCTAAAAAGTGCCACTGACACGTTAAAGAAGCATCCTGAAACAGATTAGGAATGCTATTGCTAATAGTTGTCGACACTACCATTTTTAGTAGAATTTACACGTCTTGTGCATGGCCTCTCACTTCTACAACTCCCTCCTTCCAAAAACCTGTACTTTCTTATTAGATAAACTGTCCCCAAACAGGTAGTAGGAGAGCGACTGAGAACTGAAAGTTATAAGCACTGCCAGAAATATGTTCCTGGCTTCCCAAAATTTTTGAGCATAGTGTTTGATGCCATATCACCAAATGTTAAAGAGGAAGTCTGGTAGTAAGGGACCTAAAAAACAGTGCAAATTCTTCCATAATTATTACAATAACACAGTACATAACTGATAGTGCAAATGGAAAAAACGAATGCACAAAAACCTACCTTTTTATCTTCCAGATATTCAATATTTGCAGTATTATAGCCATCTCGCTGGCCATGGCTCAGGACCCTGAAACGCCGAACTCCAACTGTATCAACAACTGAGCGCCCATCTGGGAAAAACTTCACATCCCTTATCTCTAGCATGCACCCATAATCAGCAAACCTGAAGGGACAAAGACAGCTTGTGACTGAAATTGAGAGGACAAGGCTGCAGTCCTAAACATAATAGCTCATGGCTTGCTTCTACATAAACACATCTAGGTTCAAGGTGTTAAAGAAAAAAAATCTTTACGGGAAATTGTGCACATATATGGCTCAGCTAAATAAGAGATTTTTTTAAAAAAAATGCAGCAATACACTGCCTATTCCAGCACTATGGAAAGACCACGCATGTTCTGATGTCTGGATTTTAAGCCTGTGTCCAGACAACTATATTTTTCCGTGAGCTCTGTGCAATTCAACTGATGAGGAGACTTCTGTGACATCACAGATAATACTATGAGTTCTGTTACTGATTGCCTCTTGTCTGTTTTGTAACATGGGAAATGGGCCCAAATGGGAAGGTCTAAGGCTGCAATATTGCTAAGCTGACGTACTGAGGATCAGACTGAAGGGAAGATCACCAACAGCTTTTAACATCTTGAATAAGGAAAAGAAAGAAATGCAAAGCAAAATGAAAGGCATCCTTGCTCTCTCCAGACTGAAAGCAAACTGATGTGAAAAGCAAAAACTGGAAAAAGTTCTCCTTTACTGAATTTCATCTTTCTGTGCTAAATTCTTTTTCATTGTGGAGAAGCTTGGGGGGGGCGGTTCCACAGGAACTTCTGAAAACTGCCGTCACCACCAGCCATTCCACAGTGCCCAGTGGATTCCCCCTGACAAAAGGGATTCCACAGGACTTGGGGGGGGATGGGGGCAGAAAACTTTTTATTTCCAAAAAATCGCTGCACATAATACATACAGTATACAAACAAGATTTCAGCAAAAGTCTTGTAATATAGAATTCTAATCTCTACTCCCTATTCCACAATGAGATGTAACACATTTTACATTATAACCATTATCATGTAGGGCTTTTTTTTTCAAAACAGAAAAAAATTAACAAAACAATTAAAAAAATTTTGATTTCAGTTTTTAAAAATCTCATTTAAAAAAAATCAGACATGAAAATCAGTTTTTTTAAAAAATCCACCCTGTTTCCAAACATTTTACTCACCCTTTCAGTTCATCAGCTAAGCACATGCCAAATTGTTTGGTCCCAGTTTCCATGCACCTTCTGATCATTAACCGATAACGGGGTTCAAAGACATGAAGAGGGCAAGGGATGGTAGGGAATGCCATGGTGCATACAAAGATGGGAACATCTTTATTCAAACTGTAAGAAAACAACAGGGTCCCTTTCAGATTTATGCAGCTCAGTGCAAGAATCACAAGAGTCACACAAGAGTCAGTACAAGAACAGAAACTCATTCTTGTAGTTCTGCCACCGAATGACCTTTGCTGTGTTTGCATGTATGGGTGGGCGTGGCGCACTCGTGCACATGGGCATGGTGCACTCGCGGGTGAGTGTGGTGCGCTTGCGTGCATGTGTGGGTGGGCGGTGTACCTGTGCGTGTGGGTGGGCGGTGTAGGTGGGCCATGTGTGCATGTGGGCGTGCGTGGGGGGAGATTTGTCTCCGCGGCCCGGTCCTTGAAAGGCCACGGACTGGCAGCGGGCTGTGGACCAGGGATTGGGGACCCCATGGGCATGGTGCACTCGCGGGTGAGTGTGGTGCGCTTGCGTGCATGTGTGGGTGGGCGGTGTACCTGTGCGTGTGGGTGGGCGGTGTAGGTGGGCCATGTGTGCATGTGGGCGTGCGTGGGGGGAGATTTGTCTCCGCGGCCCGGTCCTTGAAAGGCCACGGACTGGCAGCGGGCTGTGGACCAGGGATTGGGGACCCCTGCTGTGCTNGATTTGTCTCCATGGCCCGGTCCTTGAAAGGCCATGGACTGGCGGCGGGCTGTGGACCAGGGATTGGGGACTCCTGCTGTAAGCAACTATAGAACTTTCAATAAAACAGTGAATAATAGTTCTGAGATTTGAGAGCTCTCAAAATCTTCTAGCTTGGCTTTATTTCTATTTTTTGTAAGAGCCACTATCACTTCTCCCTTATTCTCTCTCTCTCCCTCACACACACACACACACACACACTCTCTCTCTCTCTCTCTCTCTCTCACACACACACACACTCACTCACTCACAAACACAACATTTCTTCGTAAGAACCTCCCTTTCTAGTAACCTACGCTGCCACTCATTATTATTCCTGGTTCTTTAAGGTGCTACTGGCAGCTCTCTAGTGGACTGCTGTTACTGGCTCACAGACTCCTGGGAACCAGGCTAACATCTGACAAAGGTATCCAATGGATATTTCTTCGTAAGCACCTCCCTTTCTAGTAACCTACGCTTCCACTCATTATTATTCCTGGTTCTTTAAAGTGCTGCTGGCAGATCTCTAGTGGACTGCTGTAACTGGATCACAGACTCCTGGGGAATCAGGCTAACATCTGACAAAGGTATCCAATGTCAATGTTAGTACTATGCATATGGCTCTGCCTCACACTCGTATATACAGAGGGAAGTATAACAACATGAACTGATCCTGTTCTTTTGTCAACTTCCAGGCATGTGGCAGTAAGTCGGAATACAGTGTCTACATGAACATAGAAGCTGTAGGCTTCCTTCTAATTCAGATCTGCCACTAAATGTCCAGTGATTAGCACTTAGGGCTGAGAAGCTCACCAACACTGGAAATGAGGCTGGCTGCCACAATGTATGCCTGGAGGATGGAAAAAGACTCTGTTAAAAATAAACGGAAGACTATTATCTTCCACATATATCTGTGGGCAACCTTTGAGGGTCCACAGGCTATTTTTGCCTCCTATCAAACCCCTAAACTGGAGGAAAAATGGTCTGTGGACCCTCAAAGATTGCTCACAGATATACAGAAGTTAGATAATTCATTCTGGAGGTCAGCTATAAGTAAGCATAAATAGTTTGTCTGGGCATTTTGCTGATCACTTAGTTACTCCATTTTTGAGGGATTTCGAACTACAGTGGTGCCCTGCATAGCGACGATAATCCGTTCCGAAAAAATCGTCGCTATGTGGATTCGTCACTATGCGGGCAAAAAAGCCCATAGGAACACATTAAAACACGTTTAATGTGTTCCTATGGGCAAAAAACTCACAGTTATGCGGAAATCCTCCATGCGGCCACCATTTTCGCTGCCTGGTAAGCGAGGAAAGGGCACGAAAACACAGTGGGTGGCCATTTTCTTTACCCGGCGGCCATTTTGGAACCGCCGATCAGCTGTTTAAAAAATTGCTATGCGAAAATCGGTAAGTGACATGCTTACAGATCATCGCAAAGCGATGTTTTACTATTAGAAACATCGCAATGCGATCACAAAAAACACATCGCTATGCGGATTCGTCGTTAAACAAATCGCTCGTTATGTGGGGCACCACTGTATTTACTGCTTCATTATTTTATTGCTCCATTACTGTATTGCCACTTGATTTCGTAGCATTTGTCTTTTCAAAAAATACTGTAATACTGTAAATGGCTTTGAGATTATTTTTTTATGAAAAGCAGTATAAAGTGAGACAAATACGTATAAAACTTCTATAAAAATATAGTTAAATCCAACTGTAAATCTCGTGTAGATCCACAGACAAAACGCAGCTGGTTAAATCAATATAAAATTCTATTAAAACATACTACTTACTTTGATAATTCCTTCATTTCATCTTCATAAACCTTTTTCCTTTCAGACAATTCTTCAGGCAAGTATCGAACTATTAATTCTTCAGTGAGGACGGACTTTCTGTATGTTCGGCTTGCCAAAAACTGAAAGAAAGACAGTTTAAGAATATAGGTTAGTAGGTTGTTTTGTTTTTTTCATAATGGTCAGTAGCAAGACTGGCTCACGGGCACATTCCAGAACTGAAGTGAGTTGTGTGGTGAGTCAAACCAGGCCTGAAAAATAGAAGGCCGTATATGCCTGCACTATATTTTAGCAGCTGGATAAAGGAGTAAATGACCAAGTGCAAGTTTTAAACAGCCAGGGCAGTCACCTGAGATCGCAAAGTAGTGTTTTCATTGTTTTCCTCATCAAAGCTTCTGAAAGCCATACTGAAAGGAGGAATGGAATTTCTCCTGTAGGAGTAATATCAGATTGAAAGGAATTCTAAGTCACTTCCCATGTTTCTTCTTTTCGGGTGTATAATTTTGAAAGGGCGCTAAAAGGAAGCATCTCAGCGTGCAAATTCTTATACCAGCAGAGGAAGTAGGGCTGCAGAAATGCAGATGCATAAAAGAGAGGGGTTTTTTTCTTTCTTTCTATGGTCAGCCACAGGAGCCCTTCAGTTAATGCCAGAAAGTGCTCAGGTAAAATGGAGAGACAGGTCTGCTCGAGCTTAGCTCTATGGAGCCAGTTCCAGAACTATCTGTGGCAATCACCTGAGCGAGGATCAGCAGCTGCGCCATTTATCCATGGAGTCGAGTCTCAGAAGGCCAGCATCAGTCTTGCCACTTCAGAGGTCCCTGGGCTAAAGCACCTCCTCTCAATCCCTTTCACTCTGCTCCTCAGTGGCATGCTTCATTTGTCTACTGCGTTCAACCCACAAAGTCATTCTGGGACCAAAGTGTGCGGTTTACCCTTCCTTCAGCCTCAAAACCTGCCCCACATACTTGTGCGGAACGAAGGGAAACTGCTCAACTGCTTTCAACCTAACTTGCAACCTCATTACCAACGGACTTCTGACACTGCTCAGCTCTGTTTTCCCCAGAGTTTTTGAAGCATTCTGACTTCCCCCTCTACCTCCAAGTTTTCCTATATACTTATTCCTCAGAGATATCCAGCACTGGAAAGTACCTCCTTGTGTAACCCCATTTTATAAACCAGGCATCCCCAAATGGCCAACAGTATACCTTTAAACAACACAAAAACATTTCAGCATAGGAGCTCAGAAGAGTAGCCACACTCACTTCAGAGAGCTTTTCCTTGCAAAGTGGACAGTGTGGATTATGATCTAGACAACGTTCAAGACATTTGAGGCAGAAGGTATGTCCACAAGGAGTAGCAACAGGCTCATAGAATAACCTGAACAAAGACATCAGGAACATTGGAAAACAACTGGTTACTTCAGCCTTCTGTTTAACACAAATTTTTACTGCAATGTCCTCTAGAGATCAGCATTTAAAAATGTGGGTGTAAACACACAGAGAGACACACCAGGACTATTGGAGTCCTGAAAACAGGGCAAACTTATCTTCCATGCACTCTAGAGAGCAGGGAACTTTGTGAAGCAAACATTCTGCAGGGTACCAGAGGACTGATGGATGTTAAATTTGGGATCCTGGGGAGCCAAATGTTGCCTACTATAGATTTAAGGCACAGCTCCTCAAGATATGTCATGTGATTGCAATATAAAGGTGTGTAATTGCACATGAAGGAAAGACAGTATTGAGGCAATAATTCAACCCAACACACATAAAGTTTTACAGTTACTCCAATTTTTACAAACAACTAATTTCTAAAGTTATATGGCGAACATTTTTACATTTCTTTTAAAACATACTATATACTATATACTGGATACCTGAAGGACCGCCTCCTTCCATATGAACCTACCCGGCAGTTAAGATCTAACCAGGGGGCCCTTTTGAAAGAGTCATCCCTTAAGGAGATAAGAGGGAGGGCTTGTAGAGAAGGGGCCTTTTCAGCAGCTGCCCCAAGACTATGGATGCCCTCCCGACTGAGATTCGTCTGGCGCCGACGCTGATGACATTTCAGCATCAGGTCAAAACCTTCCTGTTCCAAATGGCTTTTAACTGAAATAATATCAGCTGTAGGTCTGATGGCAATTTTTAGAATATATATTTTAATTGCATTTTAATTATTTTGCCCTTTTATTTTGCCTTTTTATTGTATTTTAAATGCTGTAAGCTGCCCAGAGACCTTCGGGTAGTGTGGGCGGCATATAAGTTAAATAAATAAATAAATAAATAACACATTTATTAGCTGTAAAGATGGTACATTAAAATGTGTTTGAAAGAAATGAAACGAATTAACGCATTTTGCTTGCAGCATTCATTTAATTTACAGAGGCTCTTCTTTCTTTTGTGCCACCCTTGCTTCAAAATGCTAGGCAATGCTTATTCCTTGCATCTTTCTAATACCTCATGCAGAGGGAACACTCAAAGTCAGATGCATCCACGAGGTCTACAGGTATCTCTCTTAATGGAGGGGAGGAGGAGTCTCCACAAGCAGCATCTCCATCTTTAAAAAAAAAACAGGCAGAATGTTCCAAATCAGTAGAACTTCTAAACTGGTAGAAGACACGTCCCACCCAGATTGAGAGCCTTTGGATTAAACCAGAAATTATTACTATTAATAATAATAATAATATTAATATTAGAACTGCAGAGCTGGAAGGGACCATGTAAAGAAGACACAGAATGGAACAGAACTCTCAATGTCTGGCTCCACCGCCATAGACCTAAACCACTGAGCTATCCAGCAGTTCTCTTCTGAAAGCGTTGTACAGTTATGGGGCAGAAACATCTCAACACAGAGCAGGATAAAAGTAAGGAAAAGCCACCAATTGGTCTGAGGCACCCATTCTAATACCATTTTCTAATGAAGGCACAGCAGCAGCACAAATGTTTTGTCCACAGTCATTTGGAACTGTTCGCACCAGTTCCAGAGAAGATGATTAATTACTGGTTTCATATATGAAAACTCAACATACACAAATGCCTTTACAGATGTTTCAGAACAAACAGATGCAACCGGATAACTTCATCTACCCAATGAAATAAACTCAAATCTACAAAATCTTATGCTAAAATAAATGTATCACTTTTTTGAAGGGCCCGAAGACTGGAGGCTTTTTTGGTTCATAATTAATCACACACGATTAAATCATCACTTCATTTTTCTTTCTTTCTACAAATGTAACCTAAAATGTAATGTGCATAGTCCTTGTTGTTTATTTTTGAAACAGTAATATTTTATGATCTCAACACTTCTGCAATACAAAGTATTTATACTGTGGAGATTTTACGCAGGAAGCATTGTATTTTATAGTTGGCAGGATAACTCAGTGAACTGGAGTAGGACTCTCCTTGTACCTGCTGGGAGAAGAGCCAGCCTATGTGGCCTCAGGCAAGCTGCACTGTCCTAGACTGCCTCCAGAAAAACAAATGATAGACCCCTTTTGAGCATTCTCTACCCAGAAAACCCTGAAAAGGGCTGCCATATATCCAGATTGACTTGATAACATGCAGTTTTTAAAAAATTGTATATTGTATAAATCTGAGCTTTTTAACTTATTCTGCTTCAAACACAAATTGCTGAACCAATCCTACTGAAGTAATGCACCACATGGAACAGTTACCTTTTTTTGGCTACAATGACAAAATCTACCAGCCAATATAGTGACTGGCCATATTGTGCTGGAGGACTGTGGGAGTTATCCAAAAACTGAGTTTTCCATAAATCATAGGAGTAGAAGGAGTAAAACTGTGTACAAAGCAGGAAAGGAAAGAAAGCTATCTACTCTAAGAAACAAACCTTTTCTAGGGATTTTGCTAGGAGCAGCCAAGCCCTGTAAATCCCCCGGACCATTCGAGTATTTTCGTTTTAAGCTTGCTCCAGGTAAACTAGACAGAATAGTTCCTAAAGTTTTTTTATTATCTTCAAAATAGGAGTCTGGTATGTGATGAGAAGAATCACTACTCCGAAATGCTTCAGCCTCTTGAGACGAGCTTTTTGTTAACCTCAAAGTAGTCTCCTGAAATAAATACAAAATGTGACTCAGATACAAAAGGTGGCTCAAAATGTATCTTCAGCAGTAACAACTTTGGCATCTGTAGCAGTGATTCAAGAATGACATGACAGAAACCTGTTGCAGAATCTATCATAGCACTGCTTCTATCAGATCTCTACTCCCATTCATTCTCTAAGTCAGTGGTTCCCAACCTTGTGTAACCCAGGTATTCTCAGACTGCAACTCCCAGAAGCCTTCAACACTAGCTGTACTGTCTGGGGTATCTGGGAGTTGCAGTCCAAGAACACCTGGTTTACCCAATGCTGGGAACCACTGTTCTTAGTCAATGGGACAGCTACTCATGGAGATCTTGACCTGTTCAATAATGGGAATCCAAAAGAGGTTTCGCCCTGGGCTCAACTTTTTTTTAAAAAAAGTTGCTATTGTGTGTAATCATTCCCACACTCTTTAAACAAAACTCTCCAAAAAAGAGCAACATTTCAAATAGAATTATTTACTTAAAACTGCCAAATTTTATTTTAATAAAAACAATTCCCTTCCCTAGTCTCCATTCCATTCCTGAAGAATTTCCTCTGATAAACCATGCCACTGGCTTAATTCATGTAGTGGCAGATTAGGAAAAATGGCAGTGTACACTGCACACCAAGTATTTATATGTAAAACATTCTGATAAGTTAATACTCTGATTCCTTACTTTCATTTGACAACACATATAGTCCTAAGTCTTACCTTTGAGCTCTCTGCAACTGACCCCTCTTCTCCAGAGGACTGTGCATTTATGCTACTTAAAAATGCAGGTTTCAATCTTGTATAAGATGTCCGGCTACAAAAAGGTGCTGTTAGACTATCGTGCACATTTTCAAATGCTGGAACAAACATATCACACATTATCTAGATAAAGAAAATATACGTACAAGTTTAGAAACGTTGAAACATAGCTCAGTTTATGTACAAAATATACTAGAGAAGAGGTTACAGCAAAAACTATTATAAACATGCACATGCATATTTAAAATGCCAATCCAAAGGCAAAGCACATGAGGGCAACGTAAGAAAGCCCAACATATCCAATTTCTCAACCTTTTGCCATGCTCCTGAATGTTACATTCATATACTAGAGCTACCAAGGTTCATTTCCTAAGTTTAAATCTTTCCCGTGTTACACAGGTGTCCTATACTCTACCTCTTTAACAAATAAACAACAGTCAGGAAAAGAGATAATCTGATCCAGACCAAGGACTAGAGGGGAAACCAGAGGAACACCTACCCAATGTTCCCCATTTATTCTGGAACACCAAAATGCATGTGCTATTTCCCTGAACCTTTCCAAAAAGGTTCATTTGCCAAGGACCCTAACTAAATACCAGGTATATATGCAGAGGTATACAGTATATGGCTGCCTCTCCGGCGGGTGGCAACTACAGGTCAAATGTGCCTTGAAAGCTACCAACCAGCTGCAGACCTGTTGTTTAAAACAATACCTAACTAGCCAGGAAAGAATAGCTATTCTTGTGTTAGACTGGATTAAGGTACTCTGGCTATCGAATCCCTGTGCATAAGCTTATCTGACAGGGAAAACCAACTCCATGGCAAAAGAAAAAAAGAATCTAGCTAGTGGTTGACATTTAACATCATCACTTACACCCATCTACCATACTATCTGAATCATCATGCAAAACAATTTTTAGCTGCTGAGCTCCACAAATATAAAACAGATACATAAAAATATACTCTACTGATAAGATCTGGACTTTGCACTATGAGCTGACCTTTTGGGCTTCCATTTTCATTGAGTTCCATTGAGGATTTAAGGCAACACAGTAAAGAAACTCCTTCAATGCTTCTTCAGTCCTTCCTAATCCAGAAAGAGCCTGTGCTTTCACATAATGACCCTGCATGCATAAATGTAAGAAACATAGTGTATCACAATTTTCAAAACTGAGGGCTATGATCTATTTACCAGCAAATCTACTGTCTTCCACAAACATTAAATTCTTTCAAAATGCAATAGAGAGAGACAACATGAAAAAGCAAGTGAAAGGAAACCAATACAGGTAGATATTGAAGTTTTACAGTACAGTGGACCCTCGACTTACAGACGGCTCGACTTACAGACTTTTCGAGTTACAGACTTCTCTTGCTGCAAAATTTAGATTCGACTTGCAGCCACCATTCCAATACAGATTAATTCCTTAAGTAGAGGATCCACTGTAAACTTAAGATTCCTCAACTTGGAGCCTCAAGAAGCACTTAATTAATTTTCTGCCATCCACAGTGAGATGATGGAGATGATGGGAATGGTCATACAACACATATGGAGGCCATCAGGGCATTTTAAGAAATTAATCCTAGATAAATATTGACAACCGACAATGCATCTCAAAAGAATTAATCTTTCCAACCTTTGAAAACTCCTCTGAGGAAGCCCGAAAATTCTAAAACCATCATTTCAACACTAATTTACAGAAATCAGAATGGTATATAATATTTGCCAAGTCTGCAAGAGCTAAATCTAACCTCCTACTGGACTCCACCAACTCTAATATGACTTGGAGGTTGCATGATTTCCAGACCCAACTTAAAGAAATACAACCAGAAGATTTTACACACACACACTTTTTTCATTTTTGAGAATTTCAGAATATTGTACCTTAGGCCAGTGGGGTTTACTTCGGCAGAGTACATCTGCATCATAAAGGGCTTGTTGATAATTCTTCATAGCTGTACAAAGTTCTGCCCGTTGTGCTATTAACAAGCATTTACAGGGAGCTAGAGCACAAGAAGAAAAGAATATGTACATGAGACTTTGTAGAACATTAACATTAATGAAATGTTAGTTGATGTATCACTCTTGTATAACTAAAGAACTGTCAAATATTGTTTACATGAATGCTGTACAAATTACGAAAAGCCTGCTGAATGAAAACTGTGTGCAAAACAGACCTGAATCCTGTCACATAAATATACTGATGTAACTCCCATCTGTGTAACATGCTGCACCAAACTGCTTCTAGATAAAAAGCCAGTGCTCTTTATTTTGTTCACACAACTGCTGTGTGTTGAGAAAAAAACAGTGCCGACTTCTTATCTAGTGGCCATTTGCCACTGAAAGCTTGGTGGTGTTATGCTGACTGTCATGACTAACAGGCTTCTGGCCATTAGAAGGTTAATACTGTATTTAATACAGGGGAAATTGAAAAACACAGCTACAGTGAGCAAACAATAATTGTATCTTATCTTTTAAAGAACATGATGGTTCAGATACTCTTACTTTCTAAAAGGTTGTAAATATCAAATCTTTTTTTTCCCAAAGCTGCAGATCTAATCACCTGATCTTTCAAGGACAGTTAAAACAGAAGATGGCCTATTTTATGCCTGAGATCAGTGTATCAGCAGATGCTGTAAGAGTTATGAACCTGGGAACATTTGAGCATGCCATGTTACTAGGGCATTTGTGGTTATGGACACTTTCCAATAGCTAGCACTCCTACTTATCAATGCTATGACCCACAATCACAGATTTTTTTTTCTTTGCAAAAGTAGGAAGCTTGAAAAGTTAACAGGATTATTGACAGCATGATTCTTGTACCTTTATGCAGATTCTAGGTCATCAATGATTGCTTTCTCTATATTATATTACTATTTCTAAATTATATAATGTAGGTTGCTAACACATTTTAGCATAGCATTTCTTTTATAAAAGTCTCAGTTGAGAAAGAGCAAAGTTCCTACCAAGTGTCTTAAACTAAAAGCCCCTAGGTTGTAGGATATATTTTGTGGTAAACTCTGCTTTATGCTTATCCAGGCTCTTTTCCCAGCTGCAGGTATATCCTGCCTTTCCTAAATTAACCCAATGCAATGAGCCTCGTCAGTTAAAATACTAACTTAAAAATTTTGAGAACAAATGGACAAGAGTAAATGCAATAAAGCAGCCACAAAACACTTAAACAGCAGAGACAAAGAACTTACAATTTCCAACCTCCACATCAAAATAATATAATCACAGCAATTAGAGCCACTTCAAAAAGGGAACAGCAGCAGAAGATTATGAACATCCTACGAAAGTCTGTTACAGGGGATCCTACCTTAGAAACTAGTACAGTTCCCAAGGCAGCATGCAGCCCCTGAAAAGGCCCTCGCTCTGGTCCAAATTAAATGCACTTCTGAAGACAACGGAAGCAGATGGTGGCCACAAAACTACTACATATTTATGCCTGCACAACTCCAAGGGCCTAAATTTCAGCAGTGAATTACCATCAGTCAAGAAAACAGGAACTTATTTTTCTTGTCATGCATGTAAGAAAAGGCAAAGGCTGAATTCCTAACTGGTAGCATTTCGCCACTGAACGTTGCACCACTGGTGAGCATAAATAACAAGATCTGGCCAATTAAAAATGCTGATCGACATCAAAAGCAAGCAGCGAGTGGGACATACCTAGGGAGGCCCCACAGGACTCTGGCCCTAAATGCAACGGATCCCAAGCTTTTGCTAGATTACCCTGCCCAGATCAAGAGTCTACTCCACTAGCTATTGTTTTTCAAAGCTTATTCTTCCAGACCTATTAGTCCTCTTTGTTTTCCACTGCACAGCCCTCTCAAGCTCAAATATGAGGTTGGTCCTAAACCTTAACCGTTCTGCATATCCACTTTTCATTATCATTATTATTTAGTGCTGAAAGGTGTACTTAGTCTCTCATTCATTCACATCTACAACCAATTCTTTAATGTACATGTATACAATTATTGCCCCTTTTATAGACAGGAAAAGGTGACAATTTGTGTGTAATGCCCTCCCATGGGATTTGATATCTCATGCCCAAGTCAGAGTGAAAAAATAGTGAACAGCAAAAATGTGTCTCAAACACAGGGGGGGGGGGAAGAGCTGAGTTTCAGAGAAGTGCCAGATGCACAGGAAACTTCAGTAATATATGAAAAGCCCAATATATATCAGAGTATATGCTTCTCAAAGACAAAGACTTGTAACAGTTCGATATAGCATCCTGTTTCCTATTTAGTTTCAGGTTGCTGTTTGTTCAGTGCCGTCAAGTTGGAACTGACTTATAGTCACCCAATAAGGCTTTCAAGGTAAGAGGGATATTTAAAGAGTGGTTTTACCAGTTCCACTCCCCCAGTGAGTTTTCAAGTAGAGATTCAAACCCTGTTCTCCAGAATCCTAGTCCATCACTCTATTCACTACACCACACCAGGAATCTCTTGGTATCAGGTAGGGGTCCAAAAAATGTATCCAATTTTCATTGCTGTCCTCATTTTTAGAAGACACAAAATAATTAAAATATGTTACAATACAAGCCAACGTTTTAACAACTGAGTATTTTTGCTACTGGGATGCTGAAGCGAACAAGAAGATGCTATTTGTTTATGTTTAGGAGTGTGTGACCAATTTCTTCTGCTTTCGTGGTTGTGTTTATCTCACACCAGAGCAGCAAGACACACTAGCGTGAAACAAAATGACAATCATATGGTTTAATTATTCTGCTACAATCACAAGCTATCAAGACAGAGATATGCAGCCAATAACCTTTCCACATATAGGACTACAGGAGCGAAAGAAGTCTAGTAAACCTTCTGTCACACATACAGGCATCTTATCCTTCCTCCAAGTATATCAAGATGGTGCATATATTGAGATAAATCTGTTTATCTTCAAAACCATCAAGAGAGTGACAGGATCAGATGTGACAGCTTCAGAGTAGAGCAGAATTTGAATCTGCACCTTTCTGATCAAAACACAACACTTTATCCATGCCACCACACTGCTTCATTCTGCTGGCAATTCAATGGTGGAAGATACTGAAAGAGATACTGAAGATACTGGAAAACCAACAGTAACAGAAAGAAATGGAGGAATAGTAACTTCAAATTGCACAACATGAAGATTTAACATGCTTAAAAAGCATTTAAAAGAAAACACCTGTTTTTAATTGTACTATCACTGAAGGAAAATCATTAGATCTTATTGATGTGCAACTTCATCTCCTCCCCACAGCAAGACAAAAGGCATGCAAACTGAGTTAGGGAAGTTGGAAGGAATCCCCTTATCACTGCCATTTCCTTCTAGAGGAGAATAAGGAAAAAGGACACACAGTTCACCTGAGAAGGCACATGAATTACAAACAGAAGGCTGCAATTTCAATCTGCAACATCTCTGGCTAAAAAGAACAAAAACAATTGGAATCAACAATTTGCATCTTGAGGTTTTACTGTTATCATGGAATCTAATGGGTAAAATGAAGAATTTGACATCCGCACATTTTCTCCAGAAATCCATACAATGCACACTTGGCATTAACACCTTACATACACAAATCTAAGCATGGTCATAAGGCACATTCCTTACTAAAAAATTTGTAAAAGAAAACAAGGTCTCTCATGGTACCCTAAAGATTAATAAAAGTTTATTTGGCAGGAGTTTTTGTGGATTAAAAGAAAACAAGGTCTCTCATGGTAACAAAAGTTTATTTGGCAGGAGTTTTTGTGGACTGTATCCCACTTCCTCAAATGCATGAAGAATCTGTAATGGATGCATGAACTACAGCTGAGGATGCTCTTCCTCTATCTTTAGACAACATGAATAAGAGCCATTAATCAGAACTGCCAAGATGGCTGAAGTTTCTCATGCTGACCAAGGTAAACTTGGGATGCAAGAATGTGAAAGCTCAACACCCTGCCCGTCCCTGAACTGGGTGGCCAGACCTAGAATGAAAACACTGACAGATAGCACCCATAGTAACAGATGTTCCATACATTGGGCAGGTGAGAGACTTATGTGAGGTATGTCCTGCTTTACAGCAACAGAATAAATTCCAATTCAGAAATCTAAATATTATCTAAACCACTGAGCTATCCTGCAGTTCTATACCTCACTGAAACAAGGGACTTTTGTAAGTCAACTCCTCCATAAGCTCCATTAGTTCAAATAGCTCTACTCTAACTGTGACTTACTTTAACACAGTAAATTGCAGTTAGATGAGGCCCACTTGCATATATTTACACAGGAATTGACTCATTGGGCTCCTACTGATTTAGTGGGTTTACTCTAGTACAATTTACTACACTAAGCAAGGGGTTTTTGGACATTTAGCAGTTTATTCCCAAGAAATAAATGCAGAATGTTTTGATAAATAAAGTCACTGACCACCCTCTTCCACAAAGACACACTATCTATAGGAAAATTAGATACATACAAGGAAAATTGTTGAGCAAGATCTTTTATTAGCACTTTGAAAGCACTAGCCCTTTGAAAGATGAACAAAGACTGAAAATAAATATAAGGTACCATACTCAAGGAAGATATCCTAGAGCAGGGAACAAGAAAACTATTTTTATTTATTTATTATTTCGATTTATACCCTGCCCCCCTAGACAGGGTCTACTCGGGGCGGCTTACAAAATCATAAAATAATTTAATAACAATAAAAACATCACACTCAAAAATAAACAACATTCATAATCATTAAAAAACATTTAAACAATAATATAGCATGATCAAGATGGGGAATCCAAGAATAGAAAGATAGAATTCAGGAATTGACAGGAGGGAAGGCCTGCCTGAAGAGCCAAGTTTTTAAATGGCTCTTAAAAACACCCAGCGAGGGAGCCAGGCGGATCTCTGATGGAAGGCCGTTCCATAGTCGAGGGGCCACTGCCGAGAAGGCTCGGTTTCTAGTTTTTTCTTTCCGGGCCTCTCTTGGCATTAGGCCCCTCAATCGACCCTCCTGGCTAAGCCGAGTAATTCACGTAGATCTGGGTGGGAA